TTCAAAATACATTCATTAGTATCTAAAATTATAATCTAATATGTCAAATATTAAAATTACTTATCATACCAGAACAGTTGTGACCATTAGCATCAATGGAGTATCCATTAAGACAGGAACAATAATAACTACCATTAGTATTATGACATGTTTGTTCACACCCTCCATTATTATTAAGAGTACACTCATCAATATCAGTACAAGTGTGATTATCATTAGTGAGTTGATAACCATTATCACAAGTACATGTATAACTACCAATAGTGTTAGTACATAACTGAGAACAACCTGATGTTCCTTCACTGCACTCATCAATATCTGATAAAACAGCTAGAAGTAAACGGATACTCATTAGAAACAAGTATTACCTGAACAAAATTTCTCATTGTATAGCCTATAGCCATTATAGCAGGAACAGCTGAAGAAAGGTACTTGATTTGTACAAATCTGTTCACATGCAGAGTCTTCAGTGTCACATTCATCAATGTCTACATTTAATCATTTATTGATATGGTGAATCTGTGATTAAATATTACCTGTGCAGTTTCTTTCATTAATAGCTAAGTTATATCCATTGTAACAAGAGCAACTGTAACTTCCTTCGGCATTAGTGCAAATATGTTCACAGTTTCCATTATCAGTAGTGCACTCGTTGATATCTGATGTATGCATGCATTATAATATTATGTAAGTTACACTTCCATACCTGAGCAATTATGTTCATCTAAATTTAAAGTATATCCATCATCACAGTTGCAGTGATAGCTACCAGGAGTATTGACACAGATATGTGCACAACCACCATTATTAATGGAGCATTCATTACTGTCTACATTATTTCAAAGAAACACAAGCATAAAAAGTCAAATAATAGGTAAAAATTTACCTGTGCAATTAACTTCATTACTATCCAATGTGTACCCATTTTCTTGACATGCACATAAATAGCTTCCATTAGTATTTGTACACACATCTTCACAACCACCATTGTTAACAGAGCATTCATTTATGTCTATACAATGTATAAGGTTATCTATTCATGTATTACTGTATAGTGGGTTTTTTTCACGGATAATAATTTTTGCAAATGACCCATATTTGGAAGTTCCGTGGAATTAATTTTCGCGAATTTCCACTATTCTGCCATCTTGTACTATATTAAATTGATTTTCAAGGAATTTAATTTTGCAAATCTTGAAAAATCCGTGAAATTTGTTATCCTCGAAAAAACCCACTATATGGTATGTTCACCATTGCATGTATGATTATCATTCATGAGTTGGAAACCAGTGAAGCAAGTACAGTAATAGCTTCCAATAGTATTGATACACTGCATATTACAGCTGGATAATCCTTCACTACACTCATCAATTTCTAAAAATTATAAGGTTAACAATAATAATAATGATACAAATAACTTACCATCACATGTTCTACCATTACTAGCTAGTCTGTATCCAGAATAACATGTACAATAATAAGAATCATTATGTGTGTGACAAATATGTTCACAAGCATTTGGATTAGCAGCACAATCATTAGGATCACCTAATAAAACCAACAATTATCTGATATTAAAAGTAATCATTCAAAAGCTAACTTGTACATCCATGCCCATCATCATCAAGAGTATATCCA